GTAGTGTTATATTTCAGACTATACTTGTACAGATGCTGTTAAAATTGATGTGCTTTTTGGAAGTATAGTTATTCTCTGCTATTTACTTTTTAAACAATAGCACTGGGCCTCTTCAGATCAAGCATTTATTTTAAAAAGCTTTTTTTTTTACTGTCTAGAACAATAATAAAGCAGTCTTTAATAAATAAGTCTAATCATTTGAACATTCTATAGGCATTTATAATTGTTGACTTACCTCCTTGCAGCAAACAGCCTGATTAGCACAAGAAAAAAAATCTGCCTCCCAGCAATTTGACACTTGGAGCAAACAGCAAGTTTCACTTTCAATTTCTCCTTATCATCAGCTGTTACAGGCTGCAGGGATTGCTATAGCTTATTGAAGCCTCTGCAAGCCCCCCCACCTTGCAAAGAGGTAAATTGCTGGGAGGCAGAGGCCAAAGGGTGGGGGATGGTGGGTGGGTGGGGCTACATTCAGTGTATAAGACACACCCAAATTTTCACCCTCTTTTGGGGGGGGAAAGGTGCTTTTTATACTCCGAAAAATATGGTACATGATTTTTGCCCAGTCTCTGCCTCATTTTGGCAGTATAACATATTATTGAAAAGCCAAAAATGTTTTGGCTTTATAACATATTATTGAAAAGCCAAAAATGTTTACAGATCAAGGATTGTGCATACAGTGGGACCTCACGTACTGAACTTCTCGGACCACGAACAATTTGGGTGCCGACTAAAAAATCCACTAAATGTTTTACTGACTTCACAAACACATCCTCGGGTGCCAAATAAACACAGCCACGGCAATTTCCCCTGCTGTACCACTTTTTGTGTGTGCCCACATGTGCATTTTGTCTTGCTTCTGGTCACGACCAAATTGTGCGCCGACCAACAACGGTCTGTACCTTTAACAAGACCCTTCAAGCTGTAGCTGTCAATTTCCCTGCCAGGCATTTGGCAATTGACGGATTTTTTTTTCTGGAAGCAAGAGTTCTCAGGTGCCAAAAGTTAACCAGAACAGGTTAAAAAAAACAAAAACAAGCCTTTTACTAGTATAGGTTTTTTTAAATATTTTTTTTATTTTTAATTTAAAACAAATACAACATCCTTCTTTACATGCTATAGAAAGTGTATCAGTTTGTTACAAAAAGGCTATTGTCTATTGTCAATAAATTTCACTAAGTTTAACTAGTTTTAAATTATATTCTTCCATCTATCAATCTGTATCTTTCCAATAGCAAAACAGTCTCATATCTTCTGCCATTTGTGGTGCCAGTCCTCTAATCATCATCATGAAGAATTGAAGAAGCTTCTTGGTTGAAAAGCAAAATGTTTTCAAAGAAAACATTAAGAAAGTCCAAAACAAAACAAAAAAACCCTGAAGTCCAGTTGCCTTTTGAGAAAAGCACCTTTGAAACAAATATCATCTGGATAATTGAGATTCTCCATAGACATTGAAACTGATGTGTTCTTGATGCCACATGAAGACTTTTTTTATTTGCCTGGATCTTTTATATAGTTGGTTTACCTATTTGCTTTAATTTGGTTTGACATTGATATGTTCAACTTGCTGTGTTCCATTTTTATTACACCAATTTGTTTTACTTGTTTGAAATTTGTGTTACAGATAGTCCTTGACTTACAACAGTTTACTTAGTGACCATGCAAAGTTACGTCACTGAAAAAAGTGACTTATGACCATTTTTCTCACTTATAACCATCATATGATTTACATTCGGACACTTGACAACTGAGTCACATTTATGACAGTTGCGGTGTCCCCCTTGTCATGTTTTTGCGACCCTTCCGAAAAGCAAAGTCAATGGGGAAACTAAATTCACTTAACAACCGTATTTTTAATTTAACAACTGCAGTGATTCACTTAACAAATGTGACAAGAATAGTTGTAAAATGGGGC